CCGCCCCGCCGCCAAGCCTCTGCCTCCACCTGGTCCAGCATCATTATTGCCCACCTGGAGCAGCTCAATCCCTCCTCCCCATCCCTGGCTCCCATCCTCAGCCCACAGTCTGTCTTCCCCAGAGAAGCCACTGGAGGGTGCCCGTGAGCACCTGAGTCAGGTCCCGTCCAACAAGCTCAGCAAGGTCCTGCCCCAGGGCCTTTGCACCGAATGTTTCCTCTGCCTGGAAAGCTCTTGCCTTTGGTACTCCCATGGCCGGTTCCCTTCCTCCTCTGGGTCTCTGCTGAAATGTCATCTGAACATGGCGTTGGCTGCTCTATTGTGAGAGGCTGCTCTATTAGACCATGGTCTCCCCCCACAGTACCCTCAAACCACTCTTTGCTTTTTAACACGATATATCATTTACTCTGAGGTTATGCATTTCTCAGAGTCTGTCTCTCCATCTTGAACGTCAGCTCCACGAGAGCAGGGATTTTCCCAGAAGAGAGGGCATCCTGTGCAAAGGCCCTGAGGTGGGGATGGACGTGCAGGGTAGCACCTGGCGTGGTTGGAGCTGAGCGAGGGAGGGGGCCCGTGGGCGGAAGTGATTTGCAACGTGATCCATGCAGGCAGATGGAGGCCGTGGGGGAGCCCCAAATCCTCTTACCCAAAAGCTCCTTAATACTTCCGCCCGGCGGGTCACCACCGGGCTGCCCCTGCTCCAGGTGGCTGCCATGCCAGCGCTGGCACTCGAGGAGGGGATGGAGGGCTGGAGCCCGGCCTCGCCACTCTACGAGGAGTACCGCCCACCGCCGCTGGACACCATCCGCCTCCCCAGGTACGCGCTGTACCTGCTTCTGGCTGCGTTCGTGGTGGTAGCTGTAGCCTACGCCATTGTCGGGCATCTCATCAAGGACCTCGCCCACGACCTGGCTGGTGAGCCACTACCCACTACGAGCCTGGCTTGGGCTAGTGCTGGGCCACTTGGTGGGGGGGTGCCCGAGGGCCTCTCCTTGCCAGGGAGGGGGCAGAGGGTGGCCGGGCCCGGGGATGCTCCTCACCAGCCTCCTGCCTCAGACTGGGCATTCGGCCCGAAGCCGGACCAGGAGGATGGCCCCCGGGAGCTGCCCGAGAGCCCCGAGGATGAAAGTCTGGAGGAGCTGGACCTGCAGCTGGCGCTGGCCTGGTGGGTTGACGAGGACACCGCTCAGGGTGGCGAGGGGGCCCCCGCAGAAGCCCCAGCCCGGCCCTGCCACCGCCCCTCCATCGCCTTCAAAGACCCACCAGCCCGAAGCTCCTTCTGGAAGCTGGGCTGAGCCGGGCCCTGACCTCCAGCCCGGGAGCCGGTTCCAGCCCCTTTGGCGGTTGTATAAACCAGACTTGTGCCCATCAGAGCCCTTTCACCTTTGATCTGCGCTGTCTTGACAGAGAACATTCTCTTTCTTGGCTGGTGGACTCCAGTGGCTGGACACTGATTTTTTTTTAATTAATTAATTTTATTTTTAATTTATCTTTGGCTGTGTTGGGTCTTCATTGCTGTGCGCGGGCTTTCTCTAGTTGCGGTGCGCGGGCTTCTTCTCATTGCGGTGGCTTCTCCTGTTGTGGAGCACGGGCTCTAGGCATGTGGGCTCAGTAGTTGTGGCTCGCGGGCTCTAGAATGCAGGCTCAGTAGTTGTGGTGCATGGGCTCAGTTGCTCCGTGGCATGTGGGATCTTCCCGGACCAGGGCTCGAACCCATGTCCTCTGCATGGGCAGGCAGATTCTTGACCACTGCACCACCAGGGAAGCCCTGGACACTGATTTATTTCCACACTCTGGTTTCCCCCATAGTCCCAGAGCCTAACTCCACCTGGCCTCCACCAAGCCCTTGGCAACCTGTAAACCAAAAAACACTAAGAAGATTAAAAATAATAATAACAACAGTAATAGTGGCCAGCCCTTAGCTGGAGCTTCGAATGTGCCTGCTATTGTATGCTAAGCAACCCCTTTCCTTGTGTCAACATTGTCTCGTTAAATCCTCCGAGGTACGATTTATTGCACCCATTTATCAGATGGGAAAACAGAGGCACACAGCCCAGAAATGACTCGGTTGGAGTAGAGAGAACGTTTTGCGGAAAGAGGCTGGCCCAGCGACCTGCCTCGGAAAGCAGAAGCCTGCTCCTCTGGGCTCCTCCACTTCTGAATCTTCTCAGCTCCCGCCTCTCGCCTCATTCCTGGTTCGGCAGCTGGATGGGTCCGTCTCTGGGGGTCCTGACTTCCTAACTAGCCTGAGGGCTTCCTTCGCTCCTGAGTTTTGCATGGGCTGGGGCACACAGTAGCAGCTTCACCTGTGCCTGCCTGGCTGGTCAAACTGGGCTTGTCCTGAGCTCCACTGAGTGGCCCTCCTGCACAGCGACCATGGCCAGACCTCAGGAAGGGAGGGGGCTCCAGGAATTCACAGGCACTCCGTACGTGCCTGGGCAATAATGCTGGTGTTCCCCCAGCCCCCAGGCGTCCGACGGAGGTCTCAGGCCTGGAGACTCCCCATCCCAGCCTTCCTGCCATGTGCTTGGGCTGTGGCTGTCCCGTGGCAGCTGGGGTGGGGTCCCCATTCGCCCAGGCAGGGCCCCCTATCTAATCAACCTGGGGATCAAGGTTGACACGCAGGAGAGCCAGGAATCTGAGTCATCAGCTATCCCAGGGGCCCTGTTCTCTGGCCACACGGCAGCAACTGGGTTTGGAGGTGGATGGTGGCCCATCCCTTCTTGCCCCGTTTGCTGCCCCTGGAGCTGGCTGTGGGTCCCCAGGGGTCGGGGACCCAAGAGGAGCCAGTATAAGCTGGTGGTGGGAGAGACCCACGTTTACATCTAGTTCTGGCTGCTTCTGCCCGGCCTGACGCTCCTGGCCTCCCTGGCTTCTCTGTAAAACGCAGGTGGCAAAATTTCATGGTGCATGCAGAGAAAGGATCGTAATGATGTGTAAAAGCACTGAGCCGGGAAGGAAGCTCAGGGCCAGTTCAGCCTGGCGCCTGTGGCGGGGAGCCTGGGGGACCCTGAGGCTGGCGGTCCTGGGTGGGGTGCAGGGCTGAGGGGCCGGACTCCCGCGTTAATCGTTACATCAGGTCCAGAGTCTGCCCTCCTGGAAGGCGGGGGAGAGGGGGTGGATGCCAACCAGGTGGGGCAAAGGGAGGGGCCCTCTGGTCTGGGCCTGCCCCGCCCCCAGACCTGCCTGCCCCCTTATCAGGGGCTGGGCAGGGTCTCCCCTGACTCTGACCGGACTGTGCACTCCCGTACCTGGACTGGCTGGATCCTCCCTGCCATGGGGACCCTGGAGACCCTTCTGCTCAGCACCCTGCTCCTGTCGCCGGCTGAGGCCCAGCAGGGTAGGGCTCCAACCTCTGGGGCAGGGGCAGGAGGATGGGTCGTGGGGATGGGCTTGGACACAGGCTCACCATCTCCCCCTTTGAGGAGAAACCGAAGCCTCTGAGAGGAGTGGGCAGGCAGAAGAATGGGGTCAGGCCCCTCGTGGAGGCAGCCTCCCTAACTCCCCCACTTCCTCTGGGCCTCCCACCTCATCCCTGAGCACCCCCTCCTCTCAGAGCCCCGTCCCCTTCTCTAAAACCCACCTCTGAGGGAACTCCCTGGCGGTCCGGTGGTTAGGACTTGGTGCTTTCACTGACTGGGACGCGGGTTCAATCCCTGGTCAGGGAAGTAAGATCCCAAAAGCTGCGGCGCAGCCGAAAAAAAAAAAAGAAGAAAGAAAAATTTTAAAGGACTTCCCCGGCGGTCCAGTGGTTAAGACTCGGTGCTTCCACTGCAGGGGGCACGGGGCACGGGTTCGATCCCTGCTCGGGGAACTGAGATCCTGCATGCTGCCGGGCGCAGTCAAAAAACAAAAACAAAACCACCTGTGAAACCCAGCCCCTTTCCAAGACCCCTCTGTCTGAGCATCCCCTGCACCCTTCGCCCCCTGTCCTTTCGGGGGCCCCCCACCTTTCCCATTTCTGAGCCTCCTCTGCCCCCACCTCCTAACAGCCTCAGAGCGTCATCTGAAGCCATGGCTGGTGGGCCTGGCTGCTGTCGTGGGGTTCCTGTTCATCATCTTCATCCTCATGCTGGCCAACCGTATCTGGTGCTCCAAAGAGAGGTGGGAGCCCCTTTCCCCACCCTCCATCTCCTCCCCACTCCCCAAAGCGCTGGGCACCTCCTCCTACCTCATGACCCTCTCTGGTCCCTTTCTTGTCTCCCCATTTCCCTGCTCCCCCTGCTCCCACAGCTCAGGACAGCCATGCAGCCCCCCTCTCTTGCTTCCTGGAGTCCCCCCAGCCTGGGGGAGACTGAGGCTGAGGCTGCCCCCACTTCCCACCCTTCACCCGCCCTCATCCCTCCATCTCTTCTGCAGAGCTGAGGATGAAGAGGGGTCTGCATTCAGAAGGGATCCCCACTTGAACGAGGAAGTGGACCTGAGGTACTGCCGTGTGAGCATGTGTAGACGTGTGTGGGTGTCAGGGGGTCTGCGTGAGGCCCCTCCTCGCGGAGGGGAGGGGTGGGTGTGCGCGGATGACCTCTTTCTGTCCTTGAACACCTCAAGCACGTTCCTGCCCCAGGGCCTTTGCACTTACTGTTGGTTCTACTTTGTACACCTTCCGCCATATCTTCTGGCTGCCTCCGTCTCTCCTTCAGTCCCTGCTCAGATGTTTCTTCCTCACAGAAGCCCACCTTGACCACCAGCCTTCCTGACACTCTCTCCGCCACAACCCTACATCTGTCTTTGCATGTATCACCAGCTGAAATTATCTTAGTCATTTACCGGTTTCTCAACACTAGATAGTGGCTTCCAGTAAGTGAACAGAACTTAGCTTTGGTCCTGGCTCTGGCCCCAGAGCCCGGCACAGGGCCTGGCACACAGTAGGCACTTAATAAATACCTGTCAAACAAGACCATGGTGTGGGATTGTGTAGGGACTGTGCACAAGTGTGTGATTTGGTGTGGGTGCCTCTCCTGGGCTCAGCGTCTCCCATGATCCTGGCTCAGGGATGCGGGCAGGGCTGGGGGTTCTTTCAGGGCAAGATCCCGATTTGGGCAAAGGCTTGGGGACAGAAGTAGGAGCTCAGGAGCTGGGAGGACACTATCCTGGCTGGGAGATTCTCAGCTGAGCCCAAGATGCCTGAGGGACAGGCGTGGGCCAGACTGTGCCTTGTCTATGACCCAGCTCAGGCCCAGTAAAACGTGATTCCTACTCCCAGGATGTGCTGGAGGGTCCAGATCCCACAGGTGCTCCTAATTTGTAGTTTCCTCCCTGCCTTATTCATTCCTCCATCCATCCATCCATCCATCCACGCATCCACGCATCCGTCCATCCACCCACCCACCCACCCACCCATCCATCCATCCACGCATCCACCCATCCACCCGCCCACCCATCCATCCATACATCCACCCATCCATCCATCCTTCCTTCCTTCCTTCCTCCCTCCCATCCACCCATCCTTCCATGGGACAATTGACCCCTAGTTTCTGCCTTTGTGAAACAGAAATAACAAGGCTGCCTTGTTAGGGCTGTTTTGAAGATTCAACAAAGATTCTTTCTGTAAAGCGCTCATCATAAGACCTGGCACAGGTAAGTGTTCGTTAAATGGGAGTGACTCTGTTTCTTATTGTGGTCTGGGGCCTTTGTGTCCCTACAGTAAAGAAGACCAGAAGGGGAAGAAAGAGAAGGAGAAAAAGGCCAAGAAGGAAGGAGAGAGCAACTTGGGGCTGGAGCTGGAGGAGAAAGAGGAGCCCAGAGACCAGGAGAAAGTCAAGAACATGGCCATGTGAAGACTCCTCAGCCGCTGCCTCCAGGAAGCCCCCCAGAGGTGCCCCTTCCACACCCTAGAAGCAATGACCTGAACCTGAAGCCACTGCAGTCACTCCATCTGGGGTTCAGAGTACAGCGTCCTGAATGAAGAGGCTTGGGACTACCCCTCCCCCCTCAAGGAGGGATCTTTGTGCGTTATGTGGTCTATATGTGTTATGATTTGTACCACCTGGTGATTCTTCTTGCATTTAGAGAGCACTCCTGGTTACTGAGAAAACCCCAACCCCTGCAATTTCATGGCCCCACCTGCTTCTACCCATTGCCTGATTTCTTGGCCCTCTGCCTGATATGTATCTGCCAGAGCCCTCCTCCCTCCCACTCACCTTCAGGACCAGTATCAGCCAGGGACTGCCTCTTGGGGAAGAGCCCTTCAGAAGGGCTACTGTCATCCCGTGGGACTTAGTTTCCCCTTGAGGAGACGGCTTTTGGGGTTGGGGGTAACGCCCAGGCAAGGATGGGAAACCTAACTCCACAGTGCCCAGATACCCTGGGCAGATTAAGCGCTCCGCCTGCAATCTCGATTCTGCTGTCCTGAGCCCCGAGGGCCGTCTCCTAGGAAAGCCTTGCTCCCCCCCCCCACCAACCCAGGGCTTTGGGTCACGTGACTCCATTTCTGGGAACTGGGTCTTGGAGGGTGCGGTGCCCCCGCGTGCACGATCTTGGAAAGGGATCTTGGAAAGGGATCCTCCCTGTTTCTAACCTTCCCCCGTCTCCTCACTTTCTCCGGGCCCTGGACCTTGCCCTGGATGTTAACCATTTCCTAATGAGGACGTTGATAAAGGCTGGCATTTAGGGCTCCCTTGTGGAGCAGGTAGCTGCGGTTGGTAGGATCCAGTCCAGAAGGTGGGGAGCTTCTGTCTGAGAACATCCCAGGATCGTCCACCAGGGGGCAGAAAAACCATAAATAAAAAAGTGTAATAATCTCCCCAACAGATGCTCCCACTGAATGCCTAGCATCCTTATGGTCTCCGTCTCGGTCAGTTTGCAGTTAGTCTCATTTTCCGGCTGAAAATACTGAGACTTAGAAAGAAGGAAACCACTGGCCCAGCTCTCCCTGGCTGTTGCTGGCAGGGCTGGAAGCCCAGGCTGCCCAAAGGATGGGGCATGTGCGGGCTCTGGCTAAGGTCAAATTTGGAGGTTCATGTCCCAGGATGGGAGAGGGTTGGGGTAGGAGGTGTTCCTAGCTGGGAGAACTATGCTCTTTTGGGATGCTGTGTGGCCAAGGGGAAGTGGCCTGACCTCTCTGAGCCTCGACTTGGCTCCTCTTCTGCAACGTGAGGACAAGAGTTCTGACCGCCAGAGTGTGAGGCTTGAAAGAGGTGCCGGAGCTCAAGAGCCATTGCAAGACCTGGCACATAGCAGGCACTCAGGAAATGAGTTCCCCATCTTTCCTGAGCCTCCCCTCCCATGTCCCTGGCCGTGGGGAGTGACAGGGTCAGGATGGGCCTCAGGGAGACGGGGGCTGGGACGCTTGGGACCCTGAGCCCCTCCCCATGGTGCCCGGAACCCAGTGAGGGGGCCCCACCTCCGACTTCCTGCGGCACCGGCCACATCCTGCCCTGGGGTGCCCTGCGCAGGCCACTTCCCCCTCTGGCGGGGGCGGCAACCCCAGAGCCTGCTGGACAGGGGCGAGGACAGACAGAGAAGGATGGATAGATTCTGGACGGCGCCCGGCCAATTCTCCCTTCTCGCAGCTCTGGTCCCGCGGCTGGTTCAGGCCCAACCCTGTAAGGCCTTGGAAGGGAGTGGGAGTGCGGTGGGGAAGAGTCCCAAGCTGGCGGCCAGGCTGCTGACCCCGCCCTGCTCCCGCCCGCAGTGGCCCATTGGAAGCCGTGGCTCGTGGGGCTGGGGGCTGCGCTGGCCTCGCTCTTCCTCACCTTTGTCCTCACCTTGGTCTACGCCATCTGGCGCAGCGAGCCCTGGGACAGGTAGGTCCTCATCTTTCTGAGCCCCTCCTTCCCGAAATCTCTAAATCTCTCCTCTCTAAGCCCCTCCCCTCTCTGAGTCCCGCCCCCTAAGCCCCGCCCCGTGTCGGGGCCCCCTCTTAACCCCTCCCCTCTCCGAACATCCTCCGACGGGGGCCGGGCAGGACCAGAGGGTAATTCTTTTTTTTTCTTTAATAAGTTTATTTATTTTTGGCTGTGCTGGGTCTTCGTTTCTGCGCGAGGGCTCTCTCTAGCTGCGGCGAGCGGGGGCCCCCCTTCATCGCGGTGCGCGGGCCTCTCACTGTCGCGGCCTCTCTTGTTGCGGAGCACAGGCTCCGGATGCGCAGGCTCAGTAGCTGTAGCGCAGGGGCTTAGTTGCTCCGCGGCATGTGGGATCTTCCCTGACCAGGACTCGAACCCGCGTCCACTGCATTGGCAGGCAGATTCTCAACCACTGCGCCACCAGGGAAGCCCCAGGGGGTAATTCTTTGATTCAGAATCCATGGGGGCCTTACATAACCTCACTCTCTTCTCTCCTGACTACCGACCTGCAAAATGAGGGTGGCTTCCTCACAGAGAAGCCCATCCCTAATATGTGTTTCAGTTGGGGTCTGTAAAGTCTTTTTGGGGGGAGGGGGTCTGTAAAGCCTTTATCACCCCCACGCGAACCCCATCCATTTATCCATCCACCTGTCCTTCCCTTCCTCCCTCCAGCCGTCCATCATCCATCCATGCATCAGCCCTCCCTCCCTGTCTCCCTCCGTTTCTCTCTCCTTCCCTCCCTCCAGCATCCAATCTTCCATCTGTCCATCCATCCAACCACCCACCTTCCCACCACCCATCCACACATCCGTCGGTCCATCCCAGCCACTCATTAAGCCATCCACCCATCCGTCGGTCCATCCCCCATCTCTCTGCCTGTCCACTCACCCACGGTTTTGAAACCCCTTATCGGTTTTGACTCACGCAGCTCAACTATGGGCTCAAGCACTTCCTTCGTGTTCAAACGGGGCGGGTGTCCTAAGCTGCCTGAGCCTCGTCGTCCCCTTCCGTACCATGGGAACAACAAGGGTGCCTGCGGGACTCAGAGCTTCTGTGAACATTGTAAGAAGCCCGGAACACTGTTAGTCCTTATTAACTTGGGTTACCTGGGCCCTTCTTGTCTCCACAGCAATAAAGAGAAGGAAGAGGAGACTGTGAGAAATGAGAAGGAGGGAGAGGGCGACTGGGGGTTGGAACTGGGGGAGAGAGGGGCCTCCAAGCCATGAAGCAATGGCAAGCTCCTCCTCGTGAAGGTTTCCCACCCACCTCCTCCAGGCAGCCATGCAAAGATGCCCCAGTGCCTTCTCCATGCCCTACCAGCAAGGACCCAGCCCTGGGGCCAGTGAGATGACCCCATCTGGGATTCAGGGTAAAGTGGCCCTTGAGTGCAGAAGACTCAGGACCTGCCCCAGGTCCCTCTTGGAGGGCTCTCTGCGTGTTACCTGGTCGCCCTGTACCCCTTCCCAAGCTTGGTCTCCACCTGATGATTCTCCCTGAGCTTGGAGGACACCCCTGGCACAAGGAGCAGCCCACCTCCCCGAGACCCCCTACTATCTCATATCTCTACCCAGTCTGCATCGCTGGCAGCTTCTGGCCCTTTTGATTTCTTCTCCTACCTCCGATTTCTGTTGCCCTTTGGATTTCATCGGAGAAGCCAGGTCCTCCTCTTGCCCACGTGCAAGCTCTTCCAAGAGTTTTCCAGGCCTGCTTCGAGGAATCCACAGGAGTCACTTGTCTCCCAGCCCCCCTCCTGGCCTCGGCTTGCTCCTCCAGAGCGTGAACTTTGAGCTGGCTCAGAGCAAGGCCGTTCCCTGGGAGATGAGGGCTCCTCCTACCTTGTGCTCATTTCGGGGCACTGTCCTGGAGGCAGGGACTCCCAGGGCCTGGGGTGAGGGTGCAGGAGTGCGAGTGGGGAGGAACCCCTTCTTCCTGTCCTGCACTCCTTGTGGGGAGGCGCCATGCAGGAGAAGGAGTTGGAGTCCCCACTTCTTTGCTGTGTAGCCCCGAGGCAAGTAACTTAACCTCTCTGTGCCTAAGTGCCCTGTCCTGTAAAAGGGGAGGATAATAGATTCTTCACAAGTCGTCATGAGGTTTTGAATGAAATACGGTCTACAGAAATCCTGAGCGCAGAACCCAGCACCCCCAAAGCGTCTTAATAAATGTCGGCTTTTTGTTACGCTGAAATGGTGAAGATGGGGCGGGGCAAATGGGCCTCTCACCACAGACTCGGGGGATCCTGAAGGTCAGAGGGTGTTTTCCGACGGCAGCTCCGGGAGGGCGGGAGTCTTCTGCCCTCCAGTCTCCTCTTTGCGAGGTCTGGGGCTTCCGGGTGGGTGGGTGGCAGTGTTGAGGGGGTCGGGAAGGGAGAAGGGAGGGGCTAGCGGGGCTCCTCCCCTTCCGCAGGGGGCGGGACTTCCCCACTAGGGGGCGCCGGGGGCGTTTGGGGCTGCGTTATTTAGGCTGTCGCAAGCCTGGCCCTTTTACGGCGTTTAGTGGGGAGCCAGGGCTGGGACAGCCCCTCAAAGCCAAAAGCTGCTTCACCCCAGGGGCCAATGGATGAAAAACACTGAGGCTTTCCTTGAGATAAAAGGACAGATTGAGCCCCCAGCCCGGCTGAGACGCGGGCCAAGGATGAATCTCCAGCCCCTGGCTGAACCCTCCATCCCAGCCGAACGCCCACCCCCGGACTGAGCCCCTCACCCAAGATGAGATCCCCACCCCACAAAGAAGCTTCTGCTAGAGCTCCCCTTCCGCCCCTCCGCCAGGAGAGCCGGACTGTGGGGATGCGGGTCAGCTGGCCCCTCCATCCGGGACCCGCTTTCTGGGTCCACGTCCTAGGTCCTCCCACAGGGGGGGCGCCAGAACCTCGCCGCTGAGCGCAGAAGAGCCCACCCCGGTTGGGGGTAGGGCATGGGAAGGGTACGTGTCCATCTTGGAGGGGGTCTCGGACACCACCCCTGCCCCCCAACGGTTGTGTCTTCTGTGCCTGTTAC